GCTATGCGCCCAAAATAGAATTTAGTCGCGGCGCCGCAGTTGCCATGGGCGAAACTAGGTCACACAACCGGCTACGGCGGACCAGAGGCCTCGAAAACGGGCAACCGCAGAGACGAACAAGTCCAAAATCCAACCACGCACACCTTATCAGCGCTCTTGGACGCCGGGCCGTCTAGAGATTGACATTCTGACCTCAACCTCCCCAACTCTCCTCTACCCCCTTCCACCCCTCTCCACCGACCGTGACAGCAATAACACTTCATCTGTCCACCAACCACCACAGTTTATTCATTACCATATAAATGTAAATGCCTGACGAGTATTTATCGAAAACAAACGTATATTCGCCAATTTATCTTCTGACATTTTCAATGGGAATTTTCGCAAATTAAGAAAAAATTCTTATCAAAAGCCTACATACAGCAACGAAAAAACGCGTTATAGTTCAAAATCAAATAAAAAATAAACATTAAATTTACTAAATTGATTAATTAATTAAATAGTATATTTCGGACATTACCATCACCCCGGTTCCGTAGTACGGGATTCCGGGGGTTTTGCTTTCTGTGGTGTTATCTATAATAGACTGTTACCGTTTTTTGTAAAGAACGTCTGATGTGTGCCTGTCGATAGGCCCTTCGTTGCGCCAGACGTATATTTCTTTCACAACCAAGGAGTTCAGTAATGGAGGCACTGGTGATTGCGTCTAATATTTTGAAAAAAATGATATATTTTCGCTGCAACTGATAATTAACATTTCGTGTCGACTGGGAGCTTTAATGGACATCTGCGAACTTAGTCATATCGTATTGCGGTTAACAGAACCGGAAGACAAGGACTGAAATAGTGGATTCTGGCGTGTGTCACGCCGTCAGTCGCTCAGCCATTACCTAATTTAAGACCCGGGTATCCAGGTCGCTAAGGCGGTATCTTTTTTCACGGTTAATTGGGCCACTGAGACATGAGTTGAGGTCCGGAATTTTAGGACAACTGAAATTGTTGTCCAGTAATTTCTCCTGCCTAAACGACTATAAACAGGCCGTTCTGTATCAGTTTGATGAAACAGCATTCTACTGCCTTCGCAAGCGGACAGATACCAGTGCGTAATAAATAATCGCAAAATTTCAGTAGCAAGGAGAAAGGATGTGCAATAGTCACTTAGGGCCTAGGTTTGGCCCCGGGTTGGAAAATGGCAGCCTCAAGACAGAAAGTGTGTCAAAATGGTAATTTAAATTGCCCTGGTACTTTTCAGTAACATTTATTGATTACTTCTTACTTCACATATGGAACTCTAAGGCAAAATTGCATTATTTATTTCTGCCCCACAATTCAAATACATCAGTGGGAAACATTGGCGCTTGACATTTTCTTCAATTTTTGAAAGCTTGTCGTCAAAACAAAATGTATTTGGCAATTTCCGTAAAACAGCTAGGTCACATCAAGAGCTTTTACAAAATCAGGAGTTCAGGTGGAAAAAGGTAAGAGATGAAAACGGTGTTACGGCCACCAGGGTTAACGGTATGCATGGCAAGTGTCAAAATCGTTCTCGTTATATAGTTGACGTACAATCGACTCTTTGTAAAACGCACTGTTCCGACGACGAAGTTTACCAAAAAGAGATGAAATTGCTTCTTCAATTATTCTCCAAAAATGGATATCCACGAAATGCATAAAACGACAAAAACTCAAAGGAAAGGGAAAAGGCAGTTGAACCAGGTATCGAAAACACTAAGCTGGCGAACTCTCCTATACGTAAATAATTATCTGGACTTGTCGACATAAACTAAGAAAACATCAGATGCAAATGGCACACCAAACTGAAAAGGCTTTTCGATCACAGATTGTACACCCTAAAGACAGGTTTGGCCATATTGGAAGAAAAGGCGTTGTTCACTAGGTCCCGTGTGCCAGCTGTGATGCACTTTATTGTGGCCAAACTGGGAAATGCGCCTCAACCCGCATACACCAGCATCAATCAGCGGTTTAAAGACGAGAACAATTATCCCAGGTAGCCAGGCACACATTGGAAACCGGCCACAAATTCGCATGGGAGAACAGACTGATTGTTGGCACTTATCCAGCTAAAAAGGCCGTAAATTCCTGGAAGCAATGCACTTAGACGAGGCATGCATCAACAGGCACATCGATCTGGACGCCAGCTAAAAGTACTTCAAGGCCAAATTCAACCAACCACGACGTAATGATGAAATGCTCGTAACGTATACTGGCGCAGACCGAATTTTCTGGGCCTTAAAATTTTTAATTGCTTGTTGCACATTTTTTCAGGTCTGATGACGAGCAGGGGAACCTGTCTCGAAAATTTACGCATTTAAGTTTCAACCTTCCCAAAAAAGCCTTTCTCTTCCTAATTTATAAAAACTGTTTTTCAATTATCCCAGTGCCTAAGTGTGCCCAGAGGAGTAAGATGTCGCTAAACCTCCAGGTAAGAAAAAAGCTGTGATTCAAAATATCATAAGTATGCTTCAAGGGGAGGGGTGGCAAATCCACCTTTTGTGGCGTAGAAATAAGATACTGGCGTGGTTAAGGGGGGCTTAGGAGACTTCCTACCTGTCGATCGCTTTTTGGCTTCGCCGGCCCGGTCCGAGTCACATCCTTGACTATTTCGACGACTTCAGGAAGTGGAGGAGGTTCCACAGGTGTCTTGACGGGCTCTCGCTTTGGTAAAATTGCTAAGCCATTTAAACGTGCGATTTCGCGTAATTTCGCTTGATACGCACTGAAAGGTCTCATGAAGGAGGGAAAATGGACCTCTGCAAGAGTTATATGTTCTTGTACTTTTTCTAGATCCTTCAATGAAAGCTTTGCGGCTATTAGCTGCCTGAAATCGATGTTATTTTGCTCCATGAGAATTCTGACCGCTCCTTAAATCCAAAGGAAGAAAACACTAACTGCAAATAACCTGCAGTGAAAGTTCAGCGAAACATACTATGGAGCCCATTTTCTCAGTTTCATGTGGGCAAAATAAGGAACTAGTATAAACTGATTGGTCAAAAATCGCAATAAAATATGTTGATGTGTGGTTACATAAGCAAAGAAATGAAGACGCGTTTGAATAGGCTCTACTGTCTTCTAACCAATGCAGCCTCTCTGTCCGCGTAGTTCTTGTGACAGGCAGAGAACCAAACACATTCTCTTCAGGAACGATTACACAAAGGCTCGGGTATCGATTCTCGGTTTCACGACGTGTGCACAATCCATCCATTACAACCCGTCCTTAGAGCCTCTACGCTTAACGCTTGTGCAGGTTCGTCTGTCCGATCCCCTATGGTGGGCAAAGTTAGGATTGGCTCGTTGAAGGCAAACTAGGGCCGAGGCCGTTTGTATCAACTTAGCCGTATGTACGTCCCGTCCTCATCATTCTTGGCATGGTCGTGCCTCTCCTTCCTTCCTTCAAGAGGCAACCGTATCAGTGTGCGCCCATCTACTGTATTAAAATTGACTTTATTTTATTTCCCAGAATCAGTAAAATTTTGAAATGCAACAAAACGTTTCAAAATGTTTTTGGGCAGAAGTTTAACTGGCGTCGTTTAATTTTATTTGCGACATGACATTCGTCTAATTGCAATTCGTACTTTCCATAGGGATTCTCCTTTGCCCTATCTCAGAGATATCTAAATTAACAGTTTGTGAGTTCAATAGAATTTCCAACATATCTTAGGTGCTTTTTCAAAGTGTTATGCAGAATACCTAGATTTACACATGACCATCTGGAGGCTCTTGACTGCAGTGTCCTGTGCCTATTAGAACGAATATAGCATTTTGATGACTCATTCCGCGAAGACTAGCATGTGCCAAGGCTCACCACCGCCAAAGGGTGTATATACACTGGCCGCCTACGCTCGTCCGTCTAGCCAATCCGTCTGACCAATCACCTGTCAAGGTCGACTCACACAGTGGCCGCTCCAGACGCTGTGGCGATTCCCGCGGACACCTTAATTCAGCCACGCCCCTGTGGTGTGCGGCTGCTCGCTCGTCTGACATTGAATTCCCTAGTTCCTATTTTTCACTCCTTCTGTACAGAATAAACTTTTCCTACAATTCTGGCCCCCCATTACTTCTCTTCTCCTAAGGAACAGGGCCTTAAGATGGCAGTTGCTAGGGTTTAAAGTACTTAACTCCCCGCGATAAATATACGATAGTGTGCATGCAATGTCCGGATGGGCCGAAAACGGTGTTACATACTGTAGGTCTTTCCCCTAGGTTGCTTAAGAGATTGTGAAGTCAAAGCTCCGATCAGTGTCACTTTTCGCTCCCTGAAGATATGGCTAGTTGACCCGACATAAATGAGTTATAAAAACAGAAACCTGGAGTTTTTTTCGAGTTGCTTCTGAAACTGTATTGGGTATGACCTGGAAAAAGGACACCAATGTATTACGGGTGGCCTTAAGCTAAATTTCAGGGAAACTCGAACTATGGTCAGTGTTAGTGTACGGTCTCTGATATGCACGTGTCTACCCTTCCTGGAATTTATTTCTATTCTTGTGTCTTTCCATCATATTTTTCCATCTTCCAAGCGGTTTGCTTCAGCCCTCTTGGTCAGAGCTGACTTTCTACCCCTCCCTCCTTTCACAAAGGCTTTTCGGTTACTCAGTACCTGTTTGTAAAGAATCGCTCCACTAGATATCCAATTGGGAGTTACCGAAAACCGGCATTACCCAAGTCAGATGGAGAAAATCTCGCTCACATTTTCCTTTGCATC